CGGGCCCAAACCTGACTGTCCAATGACCTCTGGAGGATGACGGTTACCGAGCCGCCAGGGGGAAGCAGGCAGAGGGACAACACCCTTCCTCCCTGGGGTGGCTCAGCGACAGTGACCTACTGCGTGGTCCAGATGCATTTCTGCCAAAAGCCGCTGAGTTTTGAGATTTGTTTGAGTCTCTGGGATCATGGCCATTAAGCAGTTCAATCAGGAACCAGAGAGGCCATGCCTCCAATTATATAGCTGAGCTGGAGGTGGTTTGTGGGTGTGTTTCCCACATACCTAACTTTTGGCCGTTTACTTTCCTGGTAAACTTTGCCTCAAGTTTTTGGGGTCTGGCCAAAGGCACAGCAGCAATTTTGGGGTATCTGGAAGTCTGAAGGCGCCATCAGGCTGCTGATGCACTCGCCTCACAGGTACAGGTTGACCTGCTGGCGGCACCGTACCCCCGAATCTTAAATTTTTAAAAGAGTATATGCCTTACATCCGTGAGGCCCTAGGGTTGATCCCTAGTACCATAGAGGTCCCTGAGCATCATCTGGTTTGGAAGTAAGATAGGGAAGAAAGAAGGGAGGGAGGGAGGGAAATAAGAGAGGGAGGGAAAGAAAGGAGAGAGAAGGAAAGAAGTAAGAAGAGAAAGGAAGGAAGGAAGGAAGGAAGGAAGGAAGGAAGGAGAAAAGAAGGAAAAAGAAAGAGAGAGAAAGAAAGAAAGATAGAGGGGCTGGAGCAATAGCACAGCGGGTAGGGTGTTTGCCTTGCACGTGGCCAACCCGGGTTCGATTCCCAGCATCCCATATGGTCCCCTGAGCACTGCCAGGGGTAATTTCTGAGCGCAGAGCCAGGAGGAACCCCTGTGCATTGCCGGGTATGACCCAAAAAGCAAAAAAAAAAAAAAAAAAAAAAAACCAGAATGAGACATAACCACTGCACCAGAGGCGAATTTCTGACCAAAGGTAAATTTTATGGTACATGAATTCAACTCAAACACACACACACACACACACACACACACACACACACACAGACACAGACAAAAAACAAGATCCAACCACATTCTAGAGGTTTTTGGTGGGTGCAAGTCAGAGGTATGGCAAATCTCTTTTTTTTTTCTTAAACTATAAAGTTTTCTAAGTGACTCACTTATTAAAATGAATCCTAGTATCTAGAAGAGTCCGGCCCTTGACAGGTTCTCAATGTCTGTTCACTGAATAATTACCCAAGGCACAAAACAGGGGGAAGAGGTATGAGAAATGAACAGAATTAAAAGACATTCTAAGATTAGAGTATGATTCGAGAAAGGTGACTCATTTTAAGCACTTATAAAAAAATGTTATATTACTGAAATACAAAAAAAAAAAAGCAGCAACTGCTTTTCACCATTGCCATCAGGTTGAGCAAATCCTACCTGAAAACCTGCTGGGGTGTCTTTGGTCACCTCTTATCACCCAGGGACCTTTTGAGGTCCTATGGCTTCGACTCTCAACTCCAGCAAAGAAACCTTCTGGACAGGCTCCTGGAATCTTGTTCCTAAAGACACATTTCTCCCAACAGAACCCCAGGAATGGATGGGCTTGCTCCATTCCTTGTTCAACAGGAGTGCTTAACAGAATAGCCAATCTTTCCCCCCCAAAATGATTTTCTTTTCTTTTTTTTTTTTTGAGGTGGGGGCATTTGGGCCACACCCACCAATCAGGGCTTTCTTCTGCCTCTGTGCTCAGGGCGTGTTCTAGTGGTGCTTAGAGGACCTTATGTGGCTCCAGGGATCAAACCCTGTCAGCCACATTCAAGGCAGGCACCCTACCTGCTGGCCCCCAAAACAATTTTCTTTCCACGTACTTGCTTTTTTTAAAGAGGGTGGGATGTGGTTTGAGCTACATCCAGCAGTGCTCAGGGATAACTCCTGGTGATGCTAGAAGACCAGGTATGATGCCAGGGATCAAACCAGGGGTCAGCTACATGCAAGGAAAGCACCCTCCAGGATGTACTGTGAGGATGATGCAAGAAAAAAAGACAAGGGAAGGTGGGAGACAGATACGTACCTACAGAAACTATAAAGGTATTCATCCAGCAGTGACTACTGGCAGGCACTGAGGTCATATGGAGGCACAATCCATGCCCTAAAGAAACTAAGAGTCTAACGGGGAAATGAGGACATAATTATTTTAATTACAAAATCATGAAGTGCTAGAGATAGGAGCAATTTGCCCTTCAAGCAGGAGTGATTCGCTCTGACTAGGGTGTACCTTCATTTTGAGTAGATGAGTTAGACATAGCAGGCTGGAGAAACACCATGAACAGTCCATGGAGTGAAAACTCAGTTGAAGAGTAATGTACCCAGCCCAGGGTAGGGCAGGATGTGGTTGGTAGAATTTAGCCAGGACCAAACTGGAGAAAAGCCCTGAAGTTGTCCTTACCGGTGGTGGCACTGCCAGGAGTCCTAAACCACTGTATGTGGGCTCCAGCCCCCCAAAAAGGATGGACAGAGAGTACAACTGATCAAACACACAAAATTAAAAGCAAAGAGGTGGGCTGCAGAGTAGGGGATAGGGCTAAAATGATAGTACAACGGGACACCCGCCTTGTGCTCAGCTGACCTCGGTTCTATCCTCAGCACTCCATATAGTACCCCCTGAGCACAGACTCAGGAGTAAGGCCTGAGCATTGCCAGGTATGGCCCCAAAAACTAAAAATTAAATCAGAAAGAGCAGAGGGGGGTTCAGATAGACAGTACGGCAGATAGGGTGCTTGCCTTGCATGCTGCCAACCTGAGTTCTAACCCCCGGCACCACATAGGGGCACCCCGCCTCCTAACCCCTGCCCTGCCAGGAGTGACCCCTGAGCAGAGTCAGGAGTAAGCCCTGAGCACAGCAAGGGGGGGGGATGGTGGTACCCCCAAACTAAACAAAAACAAAAATAAAAGCTGAGAAAGAGGGCCAGGAGTGGTTCAGTGCCTAAAACCACATATTCAAGCTCTTTGCCACACGCATAACCCCAAAACCCTGGACAATGCAAGTGACTTCTGGACACACCTATTGTTCAGAAGCATGTTTCAAGGATGCAAGCGGCAGTAAGCATATGTATAAGCAATGCAGCAATACTGTCAGATACTACAACTATGTGTGCCAAACACAATGAAGAATGTCCCCACAATATTACAGGTGACCCAGCAAGCACAATATGTCCCCAACTGTAGGGTCATCACACTATCAACAACAGGAAGGAAAAGTGTGGGGGAAGAGGGGATTAAATGCAAAAAGATCCATGCATCCCATCAACACATCACAAATATAAAGCAGAAGGCAAAGACTTTTCAATCCCCGAGTGCCAATTTTAGGGATTGTGCTAGTCATCTAGTGCCCCCTGGTGGAACAGTGAGACCTCAGCAGTACTAATGGCATCACACCAACTAGCATTTAGTTCTCTAGTTTAGTTCAATTCAGTGATAGAAGTGATACTTCAATGGCAGAAGGCATCCTGGTATCAAGTACTAAGTCTAACACCCAATACCATACTTTATCCAGTTGTCAAAGTGTGTAATATTCTCTCCCCTTAAGATGATCAGACACTATTCTAAGCTGAATCTGACCAGAATTCCAAACGCCTAACAATCATGAAAAGTGATGTGGCGTAAGTATCAAAAGCTAGTCAGTATGGATGGGAGTCATTTAAGGGCAGCCTCCCCAGAACCCCTGCACTGTGGTTCCCAGGGAACCACTAGGAACAACCTCCCTTCCTCCCCAAGCACCTCCAAATGTGGCCCAAAGATCCTCCCCCGCCCCTGAGAAAAGCCCTCAGGATAAGGCTTGACATGGATGTCACTTTTACTTTTGCTTTCATGCCACACCCAGCTGTGTTTAAGGTTTAATCCTGGCTCTGTGCTCAGGGATTACTGCTGGTAGAGTTTGGGGAATCTTGTGACCAAACCCAGGCGATCCGCACCCAAGGAAGTGTCCTACCCCTCTACTAGAGTAGGTTATCTCTATCTCTAGCCCGTTTTTAAAATCTAGTTACTCCAAGTCCAACATTCATGAACAAAATATCCTGGTACATACTACAGGGCACTTAATAGGTCCAAGTATTTCTGTTGCTTTGGGGCCACACATGATGTACTCAGGGATCACTCCTGGCTGAGCTTAGGAGCCGTAGGTGGTGCTGGGGACCCAACCCCGCTCAACTGCTGCAAGGGAAGGACCCAACAGCTGCACTGTACCTCCAGCCTGGTGTATTTAGAATACAAATATTTTAAAACCAATCTGTAGTCACACAGAGATGGTATTAGTATGGCCTATTATTATAGATTTTTGTTTATATGACCTGAGACTCGCTACTGTTTGGCATATCAAATATGTCATGGGTAGCTTGCCAGGCTTTGCCGTTAGACACTCTTGTAGCTTGCTGGGCTCTCCCCGAGGGGCGGAGGAATTGAACTCAGGTTGACCTGGTTGGTCGCATGTTAAGGCAAACACCCTACTTGCTGTGCTATCGTACAAGCTTTGGGATATCAAGATCTAATTAATGGCACTACTACAACCAATTACCTGCTCCACTGTTGTCAGTGCAGGGTTAGAAAGGACAACAGGTTTTGCATTTGCCTGTAAAGGTCAATTTCATGACCATTGCCTCAGGGTCAGTCAAGAAATTCCACCAACTAGTGCTGGAGAATGTGACTCATTTGCAGCCAAGTTCTATGAGCATACACAGAAATGGTCACTCTATGTTGTTTTTGCTTTACCATTTTTTTTTAGCCTTTGAGCCAACCCCATCCTCTTCCCAACCAGTCTCATTCCTAAGTGCCAATCAGGGCTGTGCTATCCAGAAAACCCATCCCTGGAAACCAAACGCTTTTTATTTCTGATAGTTGCAACTTGAACTCCTACTCCTTAATTTCTAAGTGAGGAACTTCCTTCTAAATACCAGCATTTCCAGGAGTGTTCACAGCCATCTGGGATCTAAGAGAAAATAGGAAGATAAATAATCCTTACACCCAAGAGGCCAAACAATTTTTATTTTCAAAAACAACTTTATTCATGACACATATTAAAAAAAAAAACTCCCACCCCTGGAAATGAGCTAAAAAAATAAACAAAATCCACCTCCCACCTCCCTGTTCCCACTTCCTCCCATTCCCTCCAAATAAAAGGGAAAAAAAGGCAAAGGAAAAAAAAAAAGAAAACTGAGAAACAAAACAAACAGAAAAAAATAAAAAACCAAACTCCCCAAAACCCCCAAAACAAGGTAGTGCATTTCCCCAGGGGGAAGGGGAATTTACACTGGAGCCGCTGGGAGCGGAACGGAGATCATCCGGCTACAGAAACCTGCAAAGAAAGACACTCAAAACAGAAAAAGAAACACAAAAGGAAACCAAACAGATCACCAGGCAATCTGGAAGGGCAGGGAGCCGGAGCGGAGGGCTGGGGCGGGTGGGAGACCTGGCAAGACAGGAGCAGGCAGGCGGGACTGCGAGAGGGAGGGAGAAGATGGAGGGAAGGCGACAAGCAGAACAGTTTGGTGTCCTTCCAGAGCCCTGGGTAAAAAAAACCCCGCCTACCACCCACGCCCACCTACCCTTGAGCAGCCCCCAAGAGGGTGAAGCGGGTCAGGGAAACATGGGGAGCAGCTTGCGCAATTGAGACGTGTCCACGGCGAATGCCCAGAGGGAATGAGCAGCCCCTGCCCCACTCCCTGGGCCTTCCCCTACTCCCCCAAAGCAGGTCCCTCCTCAGCAGTTAGTTATGGGATTCTCCCCCCTTCCACAGTATATCTTTTTTTTAAAAAATATTTTTTTTTCCATCAAGGTCATCTTCTGTTTTTCTTTTTTTTTTTTAATTCTTTTTTTTTTTCCTTCTTTCCTCTTTTTTTCCTCTCTCTCCTCCTAATACACACTTTTTTTAGTAAGGGGAATACCATGATGTCGCTCTAGCCCGGCCCCTGGAAGAAAGAAGGAGAGTTAGGTGTCAACATGATCACTAAACAGTTCAGCACAAGCCCCTCCCCCGTGGGCCCTTGCCCCAGTTTACTGTGAGGGGGTGGGGAAAGAAGTTTCCACGGGCCTTAAGACTGACCCCACAATCCAATGGGAAGGGGGGATTAACAGAAAATTCACCAAACAGTGGCAGTAAAGTGCATCTGAGTTACAGGGGCAAGACGAAAAGCCTCCTGGTTTATTCCAGTTCTACCGTAGGCCCTACGGCCCTTCCACCCTAGGCCCTCACCGCCAGAGACCCTCAACTCCTAGGGGTAGAGAAGCAGATGGTGTGGGCAGCCAAAATAACCCGGCTCTGCCTAGATAACCCGGCTAGATAAACACCAAGCTCAACACAAGAGTGCAGAAAAACAACAGGGGGCTGTGGGAAAGCGAGTCTTGCAGAAGACTAGCTCCATTCCAGAATAAATCTATCACTATCCTCCCACAGAATGCGGAGGAGGACCAACTAGCCACTGATACTCTTGCAAGCAGGGCTCAAACTTCCAACCCTCTCTAACTGGACAAAGTAGCAAATGTCCGTGTTCACTGCTCTGAGCCCCTCGCCCATGCTCCCCGGCCTTCACTGCCATTAACTTTGGGAGGGTGGGGTGGAGGGAGCGGGGGCCAGCAGAGTGAGAGATCCAGCCCTCACCACCAAGTCCTGCTCCAGAAAAAGATGGTGAGACTGGCCGCCTGGCCTGGCCTGCAACTACATCCCTCACCCTGCACAGGCAGGAGGCCAAGGGCAGGGTAAGGGAGGGCGGTTCCTCAGACCGGAAGTCTACAGGGCTCATGGGAGGCGGGAAGAGGAGCAGCCCATCTATCCTGACCTGTAGATGCGACCCCGGGGCCTGGTGTTAAAAGGACTGTAGAGTCGAGAGCGGGAATTGCTGTAGTTGGTGGTCCGGGCTCGGTATCGGGCTCGTGGGAAACCCCGGTCTGTTGTGCTGATCCCTGGTCTGTTGGTTCGTTTTGGGATCACCTGCGAGCGAGGGACGGTTAACAGAAGCCTTAGAGAGTCAATCTACAGTGTTTATACGGGACCAAACAGCAAGAGCATGGGGCTTACCTTTATTTGTCTTCCTCTAAACAGGGACTCATCTAAGGCCAGGGAAGTCCTCACGGACTCTTTGTCTGAGAACTCGATATATGCAAACCTGAAAATAATGGTCTCTTTTATGTATCTGAGGCTGCAAATAGCTCCCAGGTCAGAGCCAACTTGCAGGCAAGCTTTGGGTACAATGTGTTCACATTTCTGTCAACATTTTACTTTGATGTTGCGTTGGGGGGGGGGAGTGTCATATTCAGCTGTACTCAGGGGCAGCAGAACCCAGTATATGAGCTCACAGAACCAGAACCAGAGTTGGCCACATGCAAGAAGAATCTTAAACCTGCCCAATCTCTTGGACCCTTACGAAAGGTTTTAATCAAAATTTCTAGCCTCCCTCAAGAAAATATAAGACCAGACTGGCACATGGCAAAACCAGCACACGAGGTCAAGTCCAGGCTATCTCCATCCATGCCCCTCCAGTTTAGGATCCCAGGCCCCCCAACACCTCCATGTTTAGTCCCTCCCTAGTCTGGGAAAGCATTCATTTGCAAAGCAATGCTCAAAATGAGTGCCCTTCGTTAAAAGACAGAGCACTTGCTTTAATTTAATTTACTCTATTCTATAAAACGTTTTAATTGCTATGAAAATGATCTCAACTTACTTCCCTACTTACCCTTTGGGGTGGCCACTAAATTTGTCACAAAGAATGGTGACGCGGTTGACTGAACCACAGCCATGAAAGTGTGCTTCCAGCTCTTCTGCTGTTGCACCATAGTCCACCTGTGGAGTGCGTTGGGGGGCGGAAGGGGAGGGACATTTCACAAGTACTAGGAAAACTCCCGTCTCACCAGCTACCCTGCTGAACAGCCATCCACGCACATCCGGATCATTCCCACCCCGGAGCCTCTGACCAAGGGTTAGAGAGCAACCGGGATACGGAAACCCCAGAAACGTTGCTCACCATTACCTTTCACCTCCCCCCCCCCAGCCTCGCCTGCATCCCCCATTCCCCAAAACCCACCACCAGATATCCTGGAGATGTTCAGGACTCCCCCAAACAAGAACCCTGTCCCCACCCCCACCCGGCCCTAATACATACGTTGCCAACATAGATGGAACGGGCATCAGCTTCCATCTTCTCCTCAATGGACATGATCACTGGGCCAGCTTTGAAGGGGGGAAAGAAAAGGGGGGGGGGTCACGTTTTTACGTGACCAAAATAGGCCACAGTGAAGGTCAGCATTTACATCTCTTCCATCCATCCATATTCCTGGAAACCACGCACAATGGTGGAGCACACAACAGCCACCAGCATCGGCCAACAAAGAAAGCTTAAAAACATCTTCAAAGCCCCGAGGAAACAAAGGGTCACTCCCCCCCCACCCGCGGCTGCGTCCCGAAGGGTGGCCCTGGAGGCGCGGGGGTGGGGGGTGGGGGCCCGGGGACACTGCCAGACGGGGCGGCGAGGCCCCCAGCGCCCGGGGGGGTCTCCCAAGCGAAGGCCCCACGCGCGAGACGTGAAGGTCAAATGCCACCTGGCCATCGGCTCCGAGGGGCCCACGGGGCAGCGTCGGAACAAAGAGCGCGTCGGCGGGGGTCCGGGGACAAAGAGCGGGGCAGAGGCGACCACCCCGCGGCCGGGCGGCGCGGCCCGACCCGGCCCCGGCCCCGCACGGCCCCCGCCGCCGCGCCGCCGGTTACCCACCATTGCCGGGGGGCGGGCTCATGTTCATCTGCTTCTCCACCTCGTTCTGCAGCTCCTTGAGCTTCTCCGCTTCCTCCTCCATCTCCCGGACTCGAGCTTTGATGGCTTCCAGCTCCTGCGGCGAGCGGGGCAGGGTGTGGAGGGGCGCTCAGCGGCGCCGAGGCGGGCCCCGCGCCGCGTCAGCCCGGCCCGGCCATGGCCCCCCACGCTACCTGCTCCGGCAGACGCGCGCTGGGCACCCGCCGGCGCCCCGGCCCCGCTATTCCCCGCCCACCCCAGCCCCCACCCGGCCGGCGTGACCCGGCCGCCCGGGGGCAGGCCGGCCCGCCCGCCCGCCCGCCCTCCTGCCCTCACCGGGTCCTCAATGGCGCCGTCCCCCGGGTCCCCCTCGACCAGTCCCGGCTCCTCCTCCTCCTCCTGGCTGCCGGGGGCTCCCGAGCCAGGCCCAGGGCCCGGAGCTCCTGGCGGGGCGCGGGGCCGGGGCGGCTCCTCTTCGGGCTCGGGCTCCGGCTCGGGCTCCAGCAGCAGCTCCCCAGGCTCCAGTTCCTCAGACTCCAGGCCGTTCCCGTAGTCCCCTGCGCCCCCCGGGGCCCCCTCCCCGGCCTCCCCACCGGCCCCGGGCACAAGATGGCGCCGCCGCCCCGGCCCGGAGCCCCGACCGCCCGCAGCCCCCGCTGCTGCTGCCGCCGCCGCCGCCGCCGCCATCGCCGCTCAGACTGGGGCCCGCCGCCCGGCGATTGGAGAGCTGCGCCGGCCACGCCGCGGATTCATTAGTTCAGCAGCCTGCCCGTCACCACGAGCTAGCACCCCATTGGGGAACACGACTTGACAATCAGAGGAGACCCCACCTCCAGGGCGGGGCGGGGCGGCAAACCCTCAAATCCCGTTAGGGGAAGCCTGCCTGTCAATCAGCACACGTCCCACCTCCTCCCAATTCCTTCGGTAACAATACGGCCACGCTGTGACGACATTCCTGCTTTCCCCCCGCCTACGGGCGGGGACCTCGAGGTAGAGGGCGTGCGGCGATTGGCCGTTGGTTCAACGAGTGGCAGGAACCCATCTCCCCATCACCTCGCCGCGGTGGCCCAGTCTCAGATGCCGATTGGCTCGGGCGAGTCGAAGGGTTGACACCCGCTTCGGTGTCAGGTGAACCTTGCCCCCGACGGGCTGCGGGACAGCCGGCTCGGGCGATCAGAGGTCACATGACCGAGCCCTAGGGAGGCCGCCATCTTGACACAAGTGGTTGCTAACTTACTTGGTGCTGGTAGGCAAAGGCCCGGAGTACTGCGGAGGTTTCTAGACATGGGTCTTCCGGGCAAGAGAGTACCCGTAGCTGCGGTGCTGCTACAAATGGGGGATTCCGAGTGGACCTCTGAAGGTGATAGCTTTCTCTTCCCGTCAGGGTAATCAGCACCAGACAGCAGGGAGAGGCCGCTGAAGAGGTGTTAGGTCCCGAGACTCCTGTCTCCTGCGCAGGCAGCTGTGGAGACCTCCGCTCTTGCCCCAGTTGCAGCCCGTGTTCCGATTTGATTGGATTGTTTGTTGCATGCCCCTAATGAGCCAGATTCCGATGTTTCCCTCTTTACTCCCAAACCTACCTGGCTTTCCTTTGCCAGCCAAGCAAAGGTTGGACACATATTTTGACCACACCTGGTGGTGCACAGGGGCTACCCTGGGCTCTGTGCTGAGAAGTGGCCCCCGACATTGTTTCCGGGGACCATCCGTGGTACTGGGGATTCAAAACTGGATTGGCTACATGCAAAGCAAGCACCTTACCTTCTCTCTTGCTTGCCCTGGGCTCAGTATTCTTTCCCGAGGCCCCAGGATTGGGATACTTAATGTTTCCACACTCTGTTGTAACGATTGTATCTGCACCCTTGCCTGTGCCACTTGCAGTTTACTGTTGACCAACCACAGCAAACTTCGGCCATCACCTTTACTAAGACAAAAGGACCTATTACCTGCATTGTGCATTTTATCGTTTTCTTTGTGTGTTACAGGGGCCACACCAGGGCTGCGGGAGGTGGGGGCATGCAGTACCAGAATTAAACTCAGGAAGTTAGTATAGGGATTCAAGCAGTTGCCTTGCATACAGCTCACCTGGGTTTGATCCCTGGCACCACATATGGTCCCCTGAATCCCACCAGGAGTGATCCCTGAGCACTGTTGGGTGTGGCCCCCAAACGTAAATGAAAACAAAATATAAACTCAAGACCTGACGTGCGATGCGTATGTTCCTCCACTTGAATCATGTTCCCATGCCCACTTTATCATTTTATGTTGATTCCCTGGAGATTGTGAGCACCTTGGAGATGAGAGGCTGGAGACTGTTTATATTTACATCTCCACCAGTGTGTCAAGCATATAGAAAATACCCACCAGGTGTTTATTAACCCAGGGATGCATCTTTAGTGCTCACCAACACAAAGGTCTTCAGGAGAGGTTTCTATCACATGGGAACAATCTACATACCAATAAAACTGTGCCTTGAAAGACAGGGTTACTTGTTTCAGGAATCACCCATGAATTTAAAAGGAAGGAACTGCATACTGCGTATGCAAACAGGATATTTTAAAACTTTTATCAGATGAAGGCTGAGAATCAAAGTCACTTGAACCCAACAAAAAGTTAAACAACTCCTGATGACAGAGGGTATGTGTCATGGCTGGGCAAGGAGATCTGGATAAGATAATGATCCCCTTTGGGCAAACCCAAAACTCAAAATTCTCTCAGTCTCCTTGCATTTTTGGTCCCATCTTTGCTTTTTTCTCACAAATCCTTACCTCAAGAAGGGGTGGGGACCTGGAACAGTCACAGTTGCTTAATTTGTCACTTAAAATGACTTCATTAGTCACATCAGCTTCCAAAGTCTGGGAGAACCAAAAAGTTGAATACTAGACAAAGGCTACAAGACTGAATTCACTGACATTTTCTACTAATCTTTACCCTAACCAAGATTTCAATGTTTTCAATTAAGCAAAGCAAGCAAACTGATTTTTTTTAAAACACCCTTGAATACTTTCCCTTCTTTAATTTTTGATCACACGTGGCACTGTGAAGGGACTACTGCCTGGGGGCCATGTGGTTCCAGGGATGGAGCCCAGGCCTCCAGCATGCAGAGCACAACTCCAGCACATTGAGCCACCTCTGGATCCCTGAATTCCAATTTTATACAGCACTTAACTTGTTTGGTTTTTTTTTCTGGGGACCATATCCAGGTGCTCAGGGCTTACTTCTGGCTCTCTTCTCATGGATCACTCCTTTGAGGGGGGCTGAGGGAATCATAATGAGGTGCGGAAAATCATACCTAGTTTGTCAATGTACAAGGTAAGCACCTACCCAATGTATTTTCTCTCCATCCCAAGCACCTCTTTTTATAACAAGCAGTATCCTAGACTCTTTATTATATTATCTCACCGAATTCTCACAATAATTCTATTAAGTAAATATTTCCAAAACCAATACTTATTTTTAGGAAAGAATGAAGCAACTTGCACAGGTCATAAAACTAAAGTGAGCAGAAACTCAAAACCAGCTTTCAAAGCTCAGATCAAAATTACTATAAGGTCTACTTTAATACACAAAGATACATTATGTATGGTGATAAAAATAGAAAAACAGTAAATTCCAACAATAAAGGTTTAGGCAAACTATAATTACATCCAGTCAAAGATTATGCACCTGTTAAAAGGTTTACACAGTGTGATAACATGCAAAAATAATTTGTTAGGCCAAAGAAAAATGTAAAGTTATATAGAAAGTATGATTACAACTAGGTATATATGATTAAAAAAATACACACACACGCACAACTTGGCCTTTGGGGGTAAAAAGGAACAAGAACCAGTGCAATCTTTTCTTTGGCATATGTACCAAAAGTTTTCAAAATATTCAGATTCCTCATCCAGTAATTATATTTCTTATAATCTGTTCTAAAATAATCTATGAACTAGATAAGCATTTGAGAATATGTTCATCAAGTGAAAAAATATAAACAATTTGAATGTCCAAGTGGGCACTTCCAGAAAAACTACTGTATACACACAGATGTAATTTTATATAGTCATTATACCTTCAAAATGTTTTTAATGACAAGGAAAAATGCTTGCAGCATAATTGTAAACAGAATTGCAGCAGACAAAATTGTACGTACAGTTTGATCTTAAAATATAAGCTCAGATAACAATGAGAAATATGCCAAAATGTTAGCAGTTGTTCTCTCTGGGTAGTCGGATTATGACTGATATTCTTCTTTATAATTTTCTATGATCTATCATTTTTCCACAATTATATTATTTTTATTTAAAAGAAGGAAAATATGGGTCCCAGTAACACCAGTAATAAATAAGACAGAAAAAGAAAAACGTGGGGTCAGGACTTCCGCTCAGTGGTAGAGCACGTGCTTTGCTTGTATAAGGCCAAGGTTTGGATCCCCAGCTCTCAAAAATTAAAATAAAAATAAGCAAAATACTCTACTTCCAAACATACTCTAACAGGCATAATTGCTTTACAAAGAAACATATGCAAAAAGATATCTGAGGGGCTGGAGAGAAAGTAGAGTGGGTAAAGTGCCTATTTCGCACACTGCCGACCTGGGTTCAGTCCCGAGCACTACACATGGTCCCGAGCCCTGTCAGGAGTGATCCCTGAGCGCCGCCAGGTGTGGCCCTAAAACCAAACTGGTGCCTATTAGACTGTAAACTCTGAAAAGAAGAGATATCCTCTTAGTTATATTTATTCTCCCATTGCCTATCCCTGTGTACTTGGTAAATGCTAACTGATCTTGCCTATTGCTGATGCATAGGAAACATCAGACAAGTTTTCCTCTGTTTGAAAGTTTTAAGAATTAGAATTTAAGGGTGTGAAGATCACCCATTGTGAGTGTACTTTTCCTTCAGTTAACTTATCAATAGAGGACCATGGAGTCTTGAGAAAATGGGAACTGTGACAGTGTGTCCTCTGAGGAGAAATGTGCTCACAGAATGAAACAGACAGTAAAATTGAGGAAAATAACCAGTATAAAGGTATGAGGCACCCCTACTTAGGTGCAGAAGGAAAATGTTTCCTTATTAGACAACATATATACTTAACTTCATCCCTATTTATAATGCTTGA